GGGGCGGGCTCTGCTCTGAACCGACTGTGTGCTTGGTCTGTGCTTTTTTCTCCCTGTTCCTCAGCTTCGCTCATAGTATGGCAACACGTACGGTGCGGTCAGCAGCGACAAGCCCTTGGTCCGCCCGGCGCCGTAAAGTACCCCATGGCGTGCGAACCGGGACGTGGAGCTGGCTGCCCTGCGCTCCTCCGGCCCTGCACGCTGTAGTTAGCTTGTGCGGGTCGGCCGTAACTTTGCAAAGAACTGCCGAGCGTTGAACCCTCCCCTCACACCAGGAAATATTTACCCTATTTTGCAAATGAGGATGTGAAGCAAAATGCCATTAAAAGGCTTGTCTGTAGTCGGGCAGGAGGTCCTGGGAGAGCTGAGTTTGCGTCCTTTGCCACAGAATTGCAGCTCTCTAAGAGTGCAAATCAACTCTTTAAAGCAGAGAGGTGTGTGTGTCTGTGAAACGAATGTTTGGCCTGTGTAGGTTGCTCTTAGACTCGTTTGGGGTGGGTGTTGCAGAAACATTGACTTGCTAGGGATGGAGGAGATTTTGGGTTGTAAGACAGTGTGTCACTTAGAATTGTGTTGTTATGCACCCTCCCGTGAAGACCCTGGTTTAGTTCTTTCCACATCTTCCTGTGAAGTCTGAACACGTGCAGGTGACAGTCCCTCAGGCTGTGTCTCTTGAGTTCAAGTTTGCAGCTGAAGTAGGCTGGCGAGTTGCATTCTTGGCATAGGTACCTATGTCTTGATGGAGAGGAAACACTGTTTAGTTTGGAGGCTGCTTAAATGCTGCATGTACCATCATATGGAAGTTTGCTGAACAGACAAATATCATGTGGCTAATTTGACCTGAGGAGTGATGCCGGATTTGTAGCTGTTGAACTGAAGTACTTCCTACTGTTCCAGCAGCAAAGCATGTCCTGGTCTTCCCCTGGACCCTCTTCCCCCCTGCCCCCAGTAGGGCTGAAACCAAAGCTAGCTATCAGACGATATGAGATAGTTTTGCATGGCTGAGCTGATGGTATCAGCACTGTGATATCCGCGGGTGCAAGAGAAGGTGGTGTGTAGGAAAATACAACACAAACCTGGCTATGATATATATAGGAAGAGAAAGGGGAGAAAGGAAGCTGTCAGTTTTTTTGGTCTTGTGAGTCCAGAAACATGTCTGGTTTGTTCTTCCAAGCGAGTCAGCGGGTCTCGTGCCTTCGGTTTTGAGGTTTGCACTAGAGGCATAGAGCTGGTTAGAAATGTGCACAGGTTTGCTTTTCTAGTCACCTTTGCAGCACCTACGGAGCTGCGTGTGGACTGCCTTCTTACCACCACTGGTGTTAGGGAAGACCTGTCCTCTCCTAGCAAGCCTTGTGGTGTCACATTTGTGTTGTGGGTTTCCTGTTCCCCATGCAAAAAGGCACGGGTGTTTCTTGGTTTCTGGATCTGTGGACAGCTGGGTTTGTGAATATTTGTTTGTGTTGCTTTTCGGAGTTGTGTTGGGGAAACCTATGAAGCTGAAAATCAGGAAAGTGAGTTCAGGTGTTCAGGAGTGAACAAACATGAATTTGATTGCAATTTATAGAATAAAGTAATTGCTTACCAGAACCTGACACCAGAAGCATAGAAGCAACAAGACTGTTGGATGCAGTGGGCTGGAGAGTGTTTTTTTTCTTGTTGACTAATTTTGTCTGTGATGCATGTGGAGGTACAGATGTTTCTACCATCATGCAGTACTGTGAGTATTCAGTGCCACTTGAGATGGGCCTGGCAATTCAGACATGCTTGTGCCTGCTCTTCCATTTCCTAAATGTTCTATTCATAGTAGATAATGGTTGTCATCAGCAAATCAAATCTGCCACCTTCTTTATGTGGTTATTAACACATGTTGGAGGCAGCCATGTAATCTAGCTGTTAAACAATCCATGTGAAATGGTCAAAATGCAACAGCCTGTCGAGACATCGCAGAATACATGGTGGATGCAGCCCTCTCCTGAGAAACATTCAAGTAATGCTCAGTATTTCAGTGTTAAATAGCGGGGTGTTAAATTTGTCTCCTTTTGGAGCTAAAGAGGGAACTGATTTGGGCTAGACAGGTCAGAATCCAGTTGATCCTTTCTGCTAAGAAGTAAAAGTGGGATCTGCTGTTGCAGCAGTACAGCAAACTGGGCCCTTTAACCTTGTCTTTCCAGGGCTGGCAGAGCTTTGGGAGCTGCAAGTTGAGACTGAAAGCAGACATAGTCCAGAGGGGGAGTTGTTCTGAACAACCCTTTCTTCCTGACAAACATATGCTATATGGTACAAATTGTCTTTGGGGAAAACCAGTGCTTACTTCTCTGGAGACAAGGCTATTATGAAGATGCATGAGCTGCATGTGCATCTTGCCAGGAAAATGGCTGTTCTCTACCTGCCATTCTTTGGTTGGATAGTTAAGGTCGTTTGTACCTCTGTGAATGTCATATGAGGTGGAGACTGTTAAACCAGACACAGGGTGCCATGCAAGGGGCATAGAGCCTGCCTGTCAACAGTGGTGCGACAGTGCATGTGACTGAAGTACACTGTGGGAGTCAGTTATGCCCAGTGTGCTGCTATTGCTGCAAAGCAGGTTTGTTGTTTTGTGCCTATCTGTTAATTACTTGTTTCTAAACCCTTTTATCTTGTCACTAGGCTGTTCTTTGGAGTTTATTGCACTCGATTAGGGATCGGTTCTCAGAATCAAGGAGTTAGAAGTGAGATTTGAGATAAGTGAGGCCCATTCGGTGCTGCTTTGGACACCTCCGAAGGGAAAATGGAGTTATCAGGATTGAAAAAGAAGAGTTTGCTAGGACTCAAAGAAAATAATAAAAAATCCAACACTAGGTAATCATTCTGTCGGAATTTTCTAGGTATAACGAACCCGGGGGTGTTACAGGGTGCCAGGGCTGTCCCAGTGAGGGTGAGGAGTTGGAAATGCCCCTCTTCCTGCGTGAATTTCTGTATGTGAGAATTTCTGTATGCTATAGCTGTCTTCCTCAAAGCTGCTCTGCAATGTAAAATATTTTCCTTTTTCTAAGAAGTCCAAACTTGCCTAATGCTTTAACTCTGCAGTTACAGTGATCTTGAGATAGAATTGAAGTTCCATGTTTTGTGTTGCTGTTCCGTTCTTTGTCTGGGCACAGGGTTTTTTGTTGTTCGTGTTTCTCTGTATTAAAAATGTCTACTGCTATTTGTTCTTGAAGGGCTCCTTCACCAACCAAGCGCAAGGATAGGTCTGAAGAGAAATCAAAGGATCGGTCCAAGGACAAAGCAGCCACTAAGGAATCTGGTGAAAAGGATCGTGGTAGAGACAAGACACGCAAGAGACGCAGCGCTTCTAGTGGGAGCAGCAGCACCAGGTAGTTACTCCTCCAGGCAGTAACAAATTACAATGTTTTTGGAAACCACCAGCTTGATTTCTGGTACATTTCAGTTGAAAGCTGGCGCTGTGTTAGACGTGGTGCAGGTGTGTCTAACTGAAGGGGTTGGGATGGTTTAGGTGTGAGTTTCCTTTGGCTGTCTAGTGAGCTGGGCAGCAGCAGTTTGCATTGTCCCAGCTCACAGCTGCTCTCTCTGGAATTACCTGAAGTTTTTCAGCCACTATTTTTCTGAGTACTCCAGTCATCTTTATTCCACTCTGTGCTCCATCCCGCAACAGATCCCGTTCTAGCTCAACTTCCAGTTCAGGGTCCAGTTCCAGCACTGGTTCAAGCAGTGGCTCCAGCTCCTCTTCTGCTTCAAGCCGCTCTGGGAGCTCCAGCACCTCACGCAGTTCCAGTTCCAGCAGCTCCTCTGGATCTCCAAGTCCATCTCGACGGAGACATGACAACAGGAGACGCTCCCGCTCCAAGTGAGTTTTATTTGCCTTCTAGAAATTGTCAGATTACAGGTTCATTTCCACATAGACTGCAGGATTGTGATCAGAACAGGTTGTTTTCTGAGGACCAGTTGCTTTCTCCATAAGTTAGAGATCTGAATTTTGTTAGAATGAGTGTGCTCCTTTTGCTTACAAGTGAAACATGTGCCCTAAAAAAAAAATCATCCATTTTAAGATGAGTGATTTTAAACATTGTAGAGGCAATTTTGATCAATGTTTCTCCAATAGTTTGGGACTGTGTGGGCACTGGATGAGAGTAAAGCTCTTTGGTTCCTGTAAGTTACAGCCAAGACTTAACAGAAACATCAGGGCTGAATATGGTGTGTGTGTTCTTATGTATGAAAAAAATGAAAGAAGGTGGGAGGTAAATGAAGGAAGCATTTTCCTCTAAGAATCAGAATCAAGCTCTGTTAATGTCCATATAGTTTGTCCTCTGGGCAATTTTGTAGGTAGGGTGCTGAAGGCTGATAAAATCTACTAAAGTATTATAAGCCAGTGTGAGGTTTTTTTGGTTATTTTTTGGTTGTTTTTAGTTTGGTTTTTTTTTTTTATATCACTCAATTTATGGAGAGTAAGATTAGGAAGAAGCATAAATCGAAATTTTTTGCATGCTGATTTTTTTACTGATAAAGTTACATTCCAGACTTCCGGGGTTTTTAAGCTATCAAAGAAATTGTGGCATGCAGCTGCTTAACTGCAGCATTTTTGGATCACTGTAGTGAACAGCAGGTACAAAACCACGGATCACTGGATCCATTAGCTGCCTGACTGTGGTATGCTTTGGTGCTTCTGTCGTCATTTTCCCTCTCTAATTGTTGAGGCAAAGAATTTTTTTGTTCCAACAACTGGGGAATTCTTTAACTATGGCCGACAACTTTATAGAAAAGTTTGCTAAACTTCATGTTTGTTACGCTTCTTACAGTAAAATTGAAAACTCACCAAAAAAGGCTCTCAAATTCCAGAAGGTTCTAAAGCAAAAGCAGAGAGGACAAATGCAAGTCTTGAAGTGTTTCCAAGTGAAACACTCTCAACACTGCCCCAGCACTTCCTAACCTTAACTTTCTTAACTTCAGAATAAAGATGCCCTCCCAAGAGAAGTGGTACTTCTTAATCATGCGTTAATGACCAACCTCTTGGTTTGGTCTTTCTTGTTCCCTGAAAACCGTAAACGTTTTCTGCTGTCAAAATCAGGTCCAAGCCACCCAAAAGAGATGAAAAGGAGAGGAAGAGGCGGAGCCCATCACCCAGACCTACAAAAGTGCATGTTGGAAGGCTCACAAGAAATGTGACCAAGGTAATGTCATGCTCCCTGTCATGGCAGGCTCATGTATCTTTTGTGAAGACATGTGAGTGGCTCTTCTAAAGCTCTCAAAACTTCTTTGTTGCTGCCAAGGTGTTGCTGTTGGAAATTCTTACTTTGTGTCCAAATGATCAGTGAGAAAAATTTTGGTAGGATTTTACTGAGTCAAATGCAGTGCAGCCTTTTGCAGCTGTAGTGCTGAAGAGGTCTGTCTTCTTTGTCAGTATTGCAGGTGTTGTATCATGCCTTCCTAAGAAGAAAACTGTAGAACTTACTACTGAAATCACCTTGGAAGCATTAATGATATATGGGGGTTCTTGATAAAGGATCTGAAGAGAGCTGAGCTGGTTTGAGTTGGCTTTGTTAGGATTTAGCTCAAAGGTCTTCAGAGGTAAAGGGCTTTGGGTACTGAAAAGAAGATGTGTTTTAAAAAATATTACAGTAGCACCTTAAGAATTTTCAGCTGGGGGCATAAGTTCCATTTACAGGTCCCCAGGAAGATTTTTACACTAGTTGTATTCTTGTAGCCAGTGTTGACATGCGGCAGTAATGCTACTAGAGCTTAAGTTTTGGAGTAGTCTGAGGAGGAGCTGAACATCAGTAGAGAAAGCAGTGGTAATCCTCCCACATCTGACCAGTGAAGTCTGTCTCTTCCTCATGGTGACATTGATCCAAAGCTTATCTAGTGCTGTGGATTTACTGCTCTGCTCGAGCCACATCTGGTCAGTAAGTGTGGTCTATGTCCTTAGGACTTCCTCTTTCTCTGCAGGATCACATCATGGAAATTTTTTCCACTTACGGAAAGATTAAAATGATTGACATGCCAGTTGACAGGCTAAATCCACACCTCTCTAAAGGTTATGCTTATGTGGAGTTTGAGAACCCAGATGATGCTGAGAAAGCCCTGAAACACATGGATGGAGGTAGGTATCAAATGCTGCAAGGAGGCTGGGTGCTTTTAAAAGTTTTTGAAGCAGATGAGTTTGATCTGAAGATGAGTTAGAGATCATAGGGATTTGGTGCTCCTTGGGGAACTGATCTGAAACACTGGTCTCAGCCCAAAGGGCTTTGGCTTTTGTGTGCTTCAGGATAGATCCAAAATATAATGGAACTACTAAAACTTGAGAGTTGCTTTTTTTGTTTGGGGTTTTTTTTTTCCAAAACAATAATAAATTTCTTTAAGTTTCTGTGAAAATCTTTCCCAGTTCACATCTGAACTGCAGTTTGATGGAATATCAGATTAAGAAGTCTAGCGCATGTACGTGGACTTTGTCAGAACAGCCCCATAGCAGGTGGTGGGAATGGCACTGTTGGCTGATTCACGCTTCAGCTGCTGGTGACAAAGCTGTGAGTTGCAGTAATGCGATGTGTAGACATTAGCGTTGGAAAATACTTACTTCTTCCTGTTCCTCTGATTCCCTAAAAAGGCCAGATTGATGGTCAGGAGATCACTGCCACAGCTGTGCTGGCACCACGACCCAGGCCACCTCCCAGGCGCTTCAGCCCGCCCAGGAGGATGCTGCCACCACCACCGATGTGGCGCCGGTCCCCACCTCGCATGAGGAGAAGGTGAGAGCTGTGGCAACTTGTCTTTCCTTCTCAGTGTAACAACATGTTATTGCTGAAAAACTTGTCTGGGGACAGTTTAATCGTGTTGGACTTTTCCCTCCAAATGGCAGTAGCACCTTTTGGGTATCAGTTGAACTCGGGTTGTACTTCGCAAGTCGGTCACGTGAGGACGGCTTGCTCTGGCCTACACCCCAAATACAGGCTCTTGGGAATATCAGATGCCTTCCAGCTTGTTCCCTGGAGTCCCTTCTGCATAAATGCTTCAAGGTGGAGTGGGAATAGACTTGTAGCTGGCAGAATGCCTTTGGGAGCGTGCTGCAGCCACTTGCTTTGCTGCTGCTGCTGCACCTCCCTCCCTTATTTCTATGAATGGGCGCATGGCCGAAAAGCATCAGTTGAGTGGAGAACACTTGACCCCACGATGTGACCCTGCATGCCTGTGCCCGTTCTGTGACTCAAGTCTGCCTGAACGTGCTCTGATAATAAGTCCTCTGGAGTCTTCCCCAGCATCTCGATGGTCCTTGCCTGTGGCAGGGGCTTGGAACTGGATGAGCCCTAAGGTCCCTTCCAACCTAAACCAGTCTGGGATTCTGCTACTGGCTGCTCAGTCTTGGAAATCTTCTTAAACTCTTGTTGCTAGTAAAAGTAGCTCCAGCTTGAGGCACTTGCTGAACAGTTCATGAGCTATAGATCTAAAAATGAGAACTCTTTAATGGGGCACGAGATCCTGCACTGCCTGTTGGTCCTCTTCTGAACATGCCTTTTACTGGGGCCTGGCAGGTTCTAGGTTTGGCATTCCCTCCTCCTGGCTTGTTTTCTTCCCTAGTCAACTTCTATTACCTTGCTCAGAGCCTACTTATACTCTGTGCCTGGAGACTCAGTGTCGGGTTGGTGGCTGTACAAATTGATTGTAGTACGGAAGGGCTTGAAGCTTAACTGCTTCTTCAAAGTTAGACTTTCTCTAAGAAACATTCCTGTGGTTTGGAAAGGTTTATGCTGGTAGATGAGCTGACAAATGACTGGAACCTGTTGCTCTTGTCTCATGATGAAAGGTTTCTCCTTCCTCTCTGCCAGGTCCCGGTCTCCAAGGCGCAGATCCCCTGTTCGCCGGCGATCAAGATCCAGATCGCCTGGACGAAGGCGCCATCGCAGCCGCTCCAGCTCAAACTCCTCACGATAAAGTAAAAGGACTGGACAGCTTTTTATTTTTTAACTTAAATCCTTAAATCCCATCAGACTAAATATTGTACGTTTTGGGGGTTGTTTTTTTTTTTTTTGTTTTTTTTTTTTTTATAATGGGTCTGGGTGAGGAGGAGTGTGAGAGAGAAATAATCTTGGCAGTGAAGGCAACCTAAGAGGAGAGAGCAACAGCCCCCGGCCACTGTATCGCCTGTGCTGTAGACTTCTAGTTTCTTGGCATTGAATTGAAATGATTTAAAAATGGCTTTGATTTTTAAAGGCTGCAAAAACATCTTTTCCTGCTAAATGAAAGGAAAAGATGGTGCAGCCTCTTTCTCCAGTTAGCAGGCTGCTGCTTGGTGATTTCTAAACGCTTAGCACGCTGTACAGACCAGCATGTAAATCTTGAGCTACTTCAGAAACCCTGTATGGTAAGATAGGGAGGCATTTAACCTGAGCTTGGGGTTCCAGCACAGGAATTCTCAGAGCAGCTGGAGCCCAAATCTGCTGAGACTTAAACACCAGGCTGTTGCTTTATCCCAGCTCCCAAACCAATGGTTAGTTTCTGAACAGTGAGCTCTTCTGCAGATAAAGCTCTTCTGTAATGCATAGACCAGAAGCAACAGTCCAGTCCACTGAACATAATGCTTTAGAAAAGAAGCTGGAAGTCTTAAGAACTGGTTTGTAGCTGCCTCTGTAAATTGATTTCTTTGACTTTTTCTTAACGGGTTTTGGTAAAACCTCCCCCACAGCCCCGGTGGAACAGTGCTTCTGCTTTTACACATCCCAGATTGACTGAGCGTCAACCCCTGGAGCCTGCCGGGCAGGGAGGTGCTGGCTTCCCTGGTGAAGCACAGGATCCGCTGCCCTTTGTACAGTCGATGCTATACAGATACTTTGGTTTGTTTTGTATAACTTTGTAGCCTTTTGGGCCATGTTGTGTTTGTACTTGTGTAAGACTCTTGAATAAAGCCAGTAGGTTGGGAAGATCTGCCCTGCCTCTTTCCTGCTTCCGCGCAGGGCGCGTCGCGGTGCAAGCGGCAGCTCCGGGGGGTTCCCCCCACCTGTCTCTTTAAGACCTTGGGGGGGCGGTGCTTCTCTCTGGCGTCACGCCGGCAGGCGCCGCTGATTGGCTGCCGCAGAGGGCGGGTGGAAGTGGGATCGCGGCCTCGCTCGCGGCAGCGCCATGGCGGCGCC